AAACTTTACATATTATATAGGCTACACTAACGTGACGTTTAGGCGGTTCGTTTAACTATTATACGTGATGTGCGTTGTTTTTCTTTTTTTTTGGGGGGGGGGAAATGAAAGGGTTCCAAAACGCGACATTAACTTCTTGATGATCTAATACTTTTCCCTTTGCAGTGCATGGTACTATCTATACTTAATCATATGGTGACGTTGTCTGTACTTTCGTATCCCTAATTTCATTTTTGCACAGTTTAATGACATTTAAATAACTTCTCACGTACGCATACACGTTACTCTTTTAATTATATGGATTATTTTGTTAAGTAGCGCTGTCAGTATTCAAACTAACTGTTTACGTTTTACATCCACTGAATGAAAAAAAAGGGAAAAAGAATGATGACAACAGTGATTAAACCAGAGAATTTTAGAGCGAGCGACCTGAATGGTACCTTATGCGTCTGTGGGCTAAACGATCAGGTCAAAGACCCCTAGTGTTCAAGTACAGCCGTCCTTAATTTTAAACTACTAAACAGAGGAAAGGCAGCCAGCCAGTCATACTTGTACCTGACCCTCTCAGGCCCACATGGATCTAAATCACGATGAAAATGAAGCAAAACAGCCATAAGCAGCCGTCACCACCAGGGATTTGTCCCTCTCTTTGGACTGAACAACGGGATTCACTGTTGCTTTTATAACGCTCTCACAGCTGAAAGTGGGGAGTGTGTTCACGAGCAGAAAATTGTGTAAAATCAATAAAAGAAAAAAGAAAGACGGTTAACGTCTAATGTATCTTAGTGGAGAGAAGTCGAAAATCTATATAATACACAACATTGAAAAGTCACTAACTTGAAAAAACTTCAACATCAGAACAAACAGTCTTCTCGTTGTGCATAAGTTCTACCTTCTCTGAATCATTCACCCACTCTCACTATAAACATCATACGATCTGGATATAATGGTGAAGTTCATATGTTTTGTAAAGAATCAGAATTGAGACACGCTGTTCCTATTGAATAATATTAAGAACTGGCAGTTATATGTTACTCTTTAATCTCCTCTACTTAATCTTTATCCGACGGTGCCCTCTAGTAGAAATTAAGTTACTTTAGGACCTCTACGTCGGACTATTTATCGTGTTACTAAAGCATAACATATTAAGGAATTTAAATAACTAATTCTACTTTTATACTTATTGTAAAACCAGCTACTCGTATGAAAACTATAACATTTACTCACATCTCTACTAAATGTTCCGTATACATTATTTCAACAATTTTAATGACTCATATGTAAGCACCGTGGTTCTTTAATTTATATATTTCTTGTGTGGATTATATGTTGTAGATATACTATGATTTTGATTGATCTGAAGGCGAAGTTTCGAACCAAAAGATCGTTACATTTCCAGCCCAAACATTGTTTCAAAACTAAACTAAAACAGGAAAAGTCCATAGAACAGAGCCAACGTGTCGAAAATAATGCTTAAGCTTGCTGTGCAAGATTGTGTTTTCTACTGTAAAATATATATGTAGAAATACCTAGTTATTTAACTATAATGTAACCTGACTATTTTGGAGTCTTTTCTGTTTCATGCACCGCGTTCAAATAGAAAA